CTATAAATACTCTTTCAAACTAAACTAAGTTCGTCTAAATCGGATCAGCCAAAACAAAGTTATTCAATTTTTTCTAAACCAATAGTGACTCTTCCCCTTAATTTGGCGAGACAGAAAAAAATAGTTCAGAAAAGTTTCTTTATCTAGAGTAGATTACGCTAAAACTAATTTTGATATAGGTTAATTTGGAATATTTTTTAAGAAAACCCGTTTTTTCTATTTTGCAGTAGAGGTTGCTCCCCCTAGAGGCTATTTTATGAACCTGCAAATAATTTCCAGCTTTTTGTCTTTGCCGATTTACCATTTTTCTTTCTAAGTTGTAGGACTAAGTTCCTAAATCCTAACTTTATTTTAAAATTTTATCAGTCACCCTATCTGTCATTCCTAATCTATGCTGAATGAACTGCTTTTGAGGTCAGCAATTTGACTTGTTATAAAATATTACAATTTAGTTATCTCGAAACCTGCGTGCTTTATCGAAATATCCGTTAATGATAAATAAAGTTGCCGCCCACTGGAGTAGAGGGTGGTTTGTTGCACCCTGTATATGCCAAAATCAATTTCTGAATAAAAGTTTGCGACATTGTAAGCAAAATGAGAGACATTTTACTGAGGCATATTTGATTCAATATCATTCTCTTCATGAGTTCAACCTATGATGTTAGACGAATTTATTAGAAACCACCCTGTATACATATTCTATGTTCAACTGATTCGTGACCTGTGTAAATGCTACACCATAACAGCACAAATAATATGTCCATCCATCTAAATAACTATTATTAATGAGAGAAAGAAATGTTATGATGTATGATTGACGTAAGTGTAATAGATATTATTAGAGGACAATTCATTTAACGGCCATAGTTATATGGTTAGGCCAACAGTAAAATAAATCAAGTCAGTTCGCGCTTGGTATTGAACCAAAACGATTTAGATGTGTTGCTGTAAAGGCCACGAAGTAAATGATATATAAAATGATGATGAAGTAATATTAATAGAATTTGTTTGAGTATTTCTGAAATTTGAAATTCGCTTGTCATCGAGACAACAAAATAAACATTCAGCAAGTCAATGTACGTGTTTCAAATACCAATGCCAGTACCTAGTTGGGTTTTGAGTAAAATAGTGCTGCAACCAAAAAACCAAACCAAACCAAACCAAGAAAGGCAAAGCGTTGCTTTTAGTTTCATCCTTCTTCCATATACGAGTTGTCATCTAAACCCGCGTGTCATATTTATATTAAATCCTGACATTACAAAGCAGCGAAAGTGTCAGTAGTGTTATTAATTATAACTGTCAATAAACAAATCAACGATGTAACAAAATATGCAGCGTACAACAGAATAACACGAAAAATATTTACTTGGAATCCAGTGAGCTTTTAAAATTATTTTAACAATACCTGTTTGAACTCCAACGAACAGTCTCATTTTTGGAAAATCGATCAGAAAACGCGAAGATGAAGCGAGGCAGTCTAAATAAGTTCAACAAGCCCTTTGCACCGACACAAAACCTCCAAAACGTAATAAAAAGCAAAAGAATTTATGCGTGTCAGCCGAATTGGCGGACACATTTGGGGTAAGCTTCTCATACACAGCGCCACACATGTGGCTCCCATCGCTTTCGCATTAGACCTATGGTTTAGTTTCGCAAAACTTTGCAAACAAAATATTCTTCACGCATTTGCAGAAGATTTTTTATTTTTCGTTTAAGTCCTTCGCTGCTCGAGATTGTGTTCTAAGTTTTATGAGGCAATTAAAGATAAATAGACCATTGCCAGTGGGCTACAATGGGACAATGTTGAAAAACATTGCTGCTAAGGTTATAATATAAATTGGAATTAATTATTAGTATTATATATTGTGGGTAAGTTTCATTCTCAATCACAACATTTTTTTATTGTATTTAAATTTTACCCGTGACAAATTGTTATAAAATATTCTGTCCTCTTTTAATTTCACCGTTCATTTATACTACAATTAATATAACTTAATCAAACAAACTCTCCAACGAACTTTAGCATTTTCTGATATTTCTGTAGTACGCGAAATATTTCTTAATATCGCCAAATAGGGAAGTAACTAGTCGATAGTTTCTAAGCGCGATGGGAATAGAAAATAAAAGAATTTAAAATAGTAATCAACCAGAAATTCAATGTAAACTAAAGTGAGAAAGATCTTTGTTTTTCTAAAGTTAGATAAGGATCAGTTTCAGTCAATATTGCCGTTTTGAACTTACATTGTCTAAAAACGTTTTTAACACGACGTTTTGGCCGGAAGGTCTCGCTAGCTGCTTTGTTTTGAGAGTAAAAGTAAACAGAATTGTGATGAAAATTACTGTTAAATTGGCATTAAATGGGTTATGAAATCTAACGGAGTGAGTCGTGGAATCCAAGACTTCGAAAAATAAAGTCAAATTTGAATATCCGCTATCAAAACTATGGAATATGATATTTATCATTTATCAATACATCTCCGGGAAATTCTGGAAGTGGCAGTCTCCCAATAAATTCGGGGAATACCTAACTCGGCAGGATTCAACTATTAACGAATTTGATTTAATACCAGCGAAGCGCAGCGGAGCAAGTGTTTAATAAATGAGTAACGGATGAAGTTTATTAGCATGTTGCATTCTATAGTTTTTCTACGACCATTACTTTTTGGGTACTTTTTTGTAAAACTTCAAGAATATACTGCTAAAATATGTACCAAATTCGTTTACAAATCATTAACAAACATTTTTACAGTAAACGGAAAATATACAGGGCTTCGAAAATGGAACACTATCTTCTAAATTCATTTTCGAAATCCGTGTCAAATTGCACGCATAATTCATATAACATACCTATCTGTTACTTTTTATGAGCAAAATAATAATAAACAAATTTAATTTTGTAATGAACAGATAAGTAGTACTCACTTAATTCCTACCCTCACATTTTTTCCCAAATCCAAATTAACTCATCAAAACTAACGAAATCTATCATTGCTTTCAACAGTTTGGTGCTCCCTCCTATTTTGCTCGGAAAATGCGGATATCGGAGTGGTAGAACGGGATCAATAAAAGATGCTGCAAGATCACCAGATATTATTCCACTGTTTTTTTTTTATTTGGGTGTATTTAAAATCAGAGGTGTATAAGGGAAAATCATAAAATTTAGAATTAGATACGAAATTAGGCAAATTAATGAAAATATCTCGAGGAATGATTTTAAACCAATTAGCATATTGTCAAAAAGTAGTGAGCATTTTTATCACTTAATCAAATAATTTCCTTAATATTTCTATAAATTTTCTGCTCGTTTTACTCACTGGGGATATTGTAGCAGGTTAATGTTAAATTACATTAACTCATTACATAATCGTTTAAAATTCACTATCGAAATTGAACACGATAACTCAATTAATTTTTTAGACTTAACTATTAGGAACATAAAAAACAAATTAGATTTCTCCATTTACCATAAACCACAAACAAATCCAGAAAACAGTAAACTCTATTTATCCGAAACCTAATACAGAATACGAACAATTTAAAACAATTACATACATAGGAGAACGCAATGAAAAAGTTTCAAAGCATTTGTCAAAATGTGGTTTAAAAATAGCTTTCAGATCCAACAATACCGTAGGAAAATTTTTAAAAAACAATAAAACGAAATATCCAAAATCTACTGTCTACAGGTGTCTACAGGTTGAAATGCGAATCTTGTCCTAAAATTTATATTGGACAAACATGTAGATCTTTCAAGAAACGCATTAACGAAAATAAAAGAGTGTTTAAAAACAATAGTCTATATTCTAATTACACTTAAAAACAGAAAAATACATTTTTGACTACAATTTTGATATTTTGATTATGAGACAATAAAATGTATTGCTTAACGATCAATTCGATTTAAATATCTCTCCTTTATCGAACTTAAATTCTCACATATTTTTCAGTATATATAGTAGCAGGTAGTTTGTAAATATTACATTTGATAAAGACGCAGCAATTGTCACGCGAAAATATATACTTTCGTGAAAATCTGAACTTTTGGTTCTTTTTCTTTTCATTCCTAGCTACTTTCCTGTTTATTTCAAAATTAAATTTCTGTATTTTATTCCTCTGCTCGTAAGAAGTAAGAGATGCTACATGAATTATCCATGAAACTTGACGAAGAATTCGAAAATGGATTTAAAAAAATACTGTTCTATTTTAAAAAAGGCCCTTAGTATCGACATATACTTTTTGACTCACGCTTTTTGTATTTATCGCAAAAAATGCCCAAGATAAAATTATGATGAAGTGCACGAGCATTTTTTTCTTGAAAGCCAATATTCAATCCAATTAATTTGACATCTTAAAGTGACATTTTGACTCAACGTTTGATATGTGTGAAATTGGGTACTGTAGTACATAGACTAGTACATAGACATACACTGAACCCGAATTGTGGCCTAGAGCTGAGTTGTCGTTACCCATTAGTAATAAAACAATTAAAAGGATTGTTACAGAAATCTCTGAAATTCGCAAAAAAAATGCTAAAATTATATTCGAACGTGACCACATAAAAACAGATTTGGACACGGATTTGCGTCGTCGCATCTTTAAAAAGTTAAAAGAGTCGGCGATGGAAAAGAAGAAGACTGGAAGTGTTCGAAGATTAGCCAAAGATGCAAATATAGTTTCACTCGTAATTAGATGCAGTAACTGTAAATAATGCTTTAAAAGTTTGGCTGATTCAAATATACATGTACCAACTTTAAAAATCCACAGAACACAATCGCTAAAAGTGCAAGGTTAATGTTTAAAGAGCGGTCGCTCGTTATACACAAGTGTGAAACTTCGGATCGAAATTGCCTGGTGTACATGCGTACGTATACGCTTGTCGCGATTGAAGTCAAAAATCCGACCCGGCATACAACGACTCTCGCCCGGCGATGATCGCCGACTTCATGTCGGCTACGTCCGACACGAGACCGTAGAGAGAGGAACACGAGATATCCAACCGTTCGTCGTCATCGTATCGAACCGCAGCCTTTACCGGGTTAATTTGTTTGTGTCTGGTTCCTCTGTATTGACAACGATCGTGTTTTTCGGTATTTTATGTTATTAAAACAAAGACTACAAGATGTGCGATTATGAGGTTGACGCCCAACTATTAATTTCCTTAGTAGAACAACATGCCGAACTGTGGGACAATTCATCGGAGTATTACAAGCACAAGCAAAGGACGGAAGCGGCGTGGAACGACGTGTGCAGGGTCGTATTTCAAGATTTTGACATATTAACACAAACGGAAAAAATGGCAAGAGGTAAGGGTTCATTGAGGGCTCGGTTCAATAATAACCGACAAATTTGTACGATTTTTCAACCTTCGAAACATACTTCTTCAAATCACTTAATGAAACAATCCAAATATGAGCTCCGAGATTCATATTTTTATTTACAATAAAACAGATTTTTGAATATTTAAAATTTTGACAACTTTGACAACCCTGGTATTTAAGTCATGTAGTTACTGCATACATCGGATCTCGCAGTTAATACAACGAGGTACGGTTAGTGTTGGGACTAGTCAATTGAGAGTGGCCAATTAACTGGTCAATTGACCACTTCTTAATTAACTGGTTAAAAAATGTTTTAAATAACTTTTTGCGATTGTAGAGTGTTATCTATCATTACTTAATAATATATATTTTACAATAAATTATTATGCGTTTGTGATGTTCAATTTACCTATAACCCTGTTCAAGGAATATCCGAATAAGATACTTCGCGATTCGGGGAATCCCAATATCGACAAATAAATAGATATAAATTTCATGGTATTTTTAAAATTATTTCGGTCAATGGACACAAAATAATTTGACCGGTCAATTCTCCAGCCCTAGGTACGGTGTGGGGAAACGAGCGTTCCTATGAATTTGAAAAAAGAAAATATGTAAATCGTCCAAGACAAAACGCCGAAAATTATCTTTGAGGTTCTGAAATGGCCTCGAAAGAGCGTAATTACCGAATTGAATTGTTTGGAGCTGTAAATCTTCTTTGCTTGGTTAGATGCTTTTTACTCTATCTTTAACAGGATGCTCCAACATTTCCGGATTGCATTTTCTGATATAATGGGGAAAAAATCTGAAAAAAATTAAATGCAGTGCCCGACGACCCACAAATGCTGTTGCCAACATTTCAAGTACTAAAAGTAGTAAAATTCCTGCCTGATTTTAATTTCAATCAATTTTGTTGTCTATCATCGTTATCAATTTTCACTGGGTTATTGGGCTCTTGTTTGATTATCTAATTTCAATTCTTGAAAGGTGGACTACAGCATTTTGAATACGATCAACCATATTTTCAGGGATAGTAGGGTGAGTAGGACATTAAGGTCTGGAGATCGGGAAGGCACGGAAATAAAGTGCCCCTTCCTCTCCAATGGTTTGGCCATTTATTCTCGTTCTTAAAGTAACGTTTTCAAAACCGGCAATTGGGTTCTTAAAAAGCTCAAATAAAATTGGTTATTCGATCGTCAGTACCATACGTTCACACTCCACCTAATTTGATAATTCACTTCCAATGAGGAATCACTGGCTACCAATAATTCATATTTTGTAAATTGACTCCTCCATTACTCGAAATAGTAGCTTCATCGGTCAATCAGTTTCTAAAAGAGCCTGATGTAGTTCAATATGATAAGGGTGCAGATAGTGGTCTTTTAGAATGCGGTGTACTGATGTTTTCCTAATATCTAACTTATTGTTCTTACGCTTAAATGGAGAGTGATTAATGTGAACACAGGCAAGAACATTAGTGACGTTTTCTTCATTCCGAACTCGTCCTGCTTCGCTCAAGGATTTGCTAAAGAACTAAACACTATGGTGTTCTTAAAAAACGAACTTTCATTTCAATAACAACCGTGGATTCGAGATACTTATGAAACTATTTTTTTTGAGTTTTAAATTCTTTTATTCATATTTCAGTTTGAGATAAAGACATTCACTGGTTTCTTAGACTCTTGTTTGAATATCTAATGACGTTAAGAAATTCATATCGGTGCATTTAATTTTTTTTTCACATTTTTTTACCAGTATGTCTGAAAACGCCATCTGATGACAGAACTTTTTAACGATATTTATTTCCGGAAATGTTGGAGCATGCCAACCACTTTTCTTTTAGAGATAGAGTAAAAAGCATATAACAAAGAATATTTAAAGCTTTAAGGCAGTGTTCACTCTATGTATCATTAATATAAGAACATTTTGCAGAAAACGCATTTAAAACTTTGTGATTATGCTCTCTGGTGGCCATTTCAGAACCTCAAAAAAATAATTTTCAGCATTTGGCCTATTTAAAGAGGTCCTGCATATGCTGATTATAATGCATTTTTGACCATAAGGCACAGATTGAGACGGGTCATTCAATATGTGCATGTGCGAGTCGTTTTAACACTCTCTTTTAATCAATAACCCCTGCCATTTAAAATCTAACTGAATATGACCTTGCGGCGGACCATGGTCGCTGGCATCTTCTTCTGCTCTTACCAGTCACAGCGTAGGGAAGGAATACAAAAAAATACAAATTTGGGTGATTTTTAATATAAGCCGCAACAAAATCTTTAAAATACAAAAAAAATCCGCTAACACAACGAAATGGAAATCAGAGAATGATATTTAGCTAATGCACAGACAGAGCCTAATACTACAACCTGAATGAAATGTCAAATGTGCTACTCAAAAAGTTCCAAATGTTTTAATAATTATTAATCATATATCATAATTAAAAAATGGAAAGAATTAAACAAAAAATAGATACAAACATAAATTTGTATAAATTTCTACTATCATTAGAAATTTTTACGACCGGCCACTTTTACTGTCAACAGTGTGACTTCTTTTTAAATTTTTGACATATAAAGCAATTATTTTTCGAAGCTCCAACATACACGCCTTCGTGTTCGTGATGTGTACCCAACTTAACAAAGGTTTAACTTTCACGTGAGCGTGAATGAGACAATATGGGGCCCAACAGCACCCTCATTGGAGGCATAGACACTATCAACTATCTAAGTTACAAGCGCTTCAGCTGTCTCAGCCCTTGCGCGAAACATTTCCGCACCTGATACCACGTATTACATTTTACATATTTAAAGAGTTTAGTTTTTCTCGGCCAACTTTCTCATTTTTTATGTGATAATCCAAATTAGGTCTCTGCTATTGGCCACTTTCTTATTGTTAACCAAGAAATTGTTGAAATGAGCAAACGATTAGTATTTTTTTAGGCTTATGAATAGCTTGTACGTACCAATTCTGTATTTTGATTTTCCTCACAAGAGTAGCAAAAAAGTGTTTTGGAATTTTTGAGTCAACAGTCATTTGACAATTTTTGGACGACCGACACTTGATACAATTTTTTAAGTTTATATTTCATTGACTTTTATAAATGTATCTGATATTAGTAAAATTATTTTTTCATTGACATAGGCGTATATTGTTCCAGGTAAAGCAGTGAGAAGGAAATGGGCCAATATAAGGGACTCTTGGATGAGATATTTAAGGAAAGTTACGGAAGATCTGGAATGCGGAATGAAACCGCCCAAGAAGTACCTATACCATGATCAGTTGCTGTTTCTTACCAAGAATGGGGAAACACCAACTTTCGATACAGTTAAAACAGAAATTAAACCTGATTTCGAAGAGTCCTTAAAATCGGATGAATTTGAAGAATCAGTTGACAGCCTACTAGGCGCCGCTGATGTACCTCGAATAAGTAAGCAAAGAAAAATTGACACCGGAAAGGAAACATTGCTGTACGAAAAGCAACTTTATTTAGAAGAGAATCGTCATATATCTTTTTTTAAAAGCATACTGCCTTCGATAAATAATTTCAACGAAGACCAGGTTATAGATTTTCAAATGGGAGTTATGAAATTAATCAAAGATATTAAAGCATCTGGCTCGTCGCAGACGAGTTGAAACCATTTTACATATTTTTTTCTACTCCCGTCAGTAAAACACCTAACTACACACCAATATAGCGCGCTGGAAGCGTCACTTTACCACGTCAGTTTCGTTTCCCACGGATCCGAGCCATGTCTGACATTTTCGGGATTTTACCGCCCGGGTTTGGTAGAATGTTTTGCTTAATGAACGTGACAATATATGTAAATAAATTACGCATGAATCTAAGTAGTGTAATTTTAATTATTTGCACACTCTACTTCAAAATTACAAACCAACGCAACGTTTGTTTTAAAGGTTGATCCATATCGCTAGCGTGTCATGTATGTTATTTGACTTTAATTGTTTAAAATAACATCGATAATGAAGGGTGTTGAAACAAAATTAAAATATAGATGTGTTTGTTATTTTATTTACTTATGAACTATTTTCACAACCGATTTTCAATGATATGCCTAGTATATTGTAGCATTTTCCGAATACTAGTCTTGGTTGTTATTTTTACAGATTTTCGAGAATAGTTTTTTTTTCATTTAGCATAGCTCCAATTTAATGTCAGCTCTGCTGTTTGAATTTGTAAATCACTGAAATTATTGGAGTAGTAAACCAATGTCCTTATATAGCGATGAAAATTGATGACTCACCACTGAAATATCTTACATAAATGTTCTGCGATCGGGCGAGCATTATACCGTTGATTGTAATTCTAATTACACAGCACTTTCATTGTTTGTAAATTTCGTTGTAAAAGATCCAATAATTTCGGCATACTTCGATGGTGGGAGGAAATATTACAAAGAGTTGAATATGTCAATGAATTAAGTAAAAATAGGGTTTGCTTTTATTTTGCATTTTCAGTTACAACAAATGCTATCTTTGACGTCCTGATTTTCTGTTCTGATGGAACAATTCAGCAACCGCACGAATTTCCACTTATAGGTTCAATAGATTACTGCATTCATCTTCACAAAATCTCTTAATTTCTTCCAAAACTGCAATTGCATGTACATTACGGCTGCGTCATTAGTACTGTCTGGTAATTTAAGGAATGTTTTCGACTTGACACAACGACGAACGATACTCTCTTTAAAGCCACGTAATTCACAGAAACTCGACCAAACTTTACAAATGACCGTAATAAAAAGTATTACTTCAGATATTTTAATGGAACATTTCTGTTGTTAGTCCAGTAGACTCGAGTCTGAGAAAGTCAGCCCAAGAAAACGGCTGCAAACTGGATTTCCAATCGGAAAAGTTTTAATAAGGAAGGTCCAAGGGATGCGATGGTAAAAATGTTATAAATTCAGAGAAAATCTTCTTAACTGCGTTCCAGTAAAAGTTCTACTATCTCATCGTTTTCGTTTGCTCAACCGGCTTTCGTGTTTGACATAACCACATTAATCTAAAAACGTGAAATCAGCTTTTATTCTTTTATTGCATTGAGTTGAAAAGACAATTTTCTGTTCAAGTTAAATTTTACTCAACATATAAAAAATTGACGATCGTTGTCAAATCTTAAACCGGAATACGGAACCTTCGAGGTCAAATACGAACCATGGAAATTGTTGTTGGAAAGTTGGAAAACTGTTGGCTCGACTGGAAAAATTATTACAACAAAAAACTGTGAAAAATTAGAAACAGGCCAAGGATCCACAATGAATTTCGGGAATGTGAATTTGGATTAGACAAAATTAAAAATTACATAAATGACTAGTGCCTTCAGGTTACTCTAATACCGTGACAGATAAAAAAGACACACATACAGCTAGCTGTAGTCCAGTCATTGTAAGACATCCGCTTTGCGATAAAACTCGAAATTTTAGAACCTTGCGAAAAATAATTGGTGCTAACTAACTAACCAAAACTACCTCATGGAATAAATAAAAAATAAGTTAATTCTGGGAAAAAGTAAGTAAAAAAAGAGTAAAAAAAAAAGACCCTGTATAATACTCTATCAATAGACATCAGACATCGCTCTATTCCAGGGACCACCGACGGAATCAGTCGAGGCAATGATTATATAGGGTGTTTCACGGTTGATGGTAACTTAGACTTTCGAAAGAAATTTCCAAGTTTTGTAAATAGTATTGCACTACAGTTTCAGTTAAGCTCTGAAGAAATCAACAAGTCAAGAGGAATCTAGAAGTTTTGTAACTAGTAATACCTTAGTCGTTTACGCCGAACGGTACATTGAATTGTTCTGAAAATGTAATTAGTTCCATAGGCGGCTATGCTCTATCGATCTAAATGGGACACCATGTATATTATTGCATTTTCCGATCCACCAATACTTTATGATTGTTTTTGAATAATACGTTCCTATCTTTAGCGATTTTCGAGAAATTAATTATTCTCTTTATTTCTCGACCAAACCATTGCTTCAATTAAATTTAGGGGTAGAGAGTTAAAATTTTGAACGCAGCTTTGAGAGGTACTGTACAGTAAGTGCTTTTTTTTCTGCAGGAACTTCCTGTTTTTTATCACATATTCTGAGAACGAATTAAATTCCCATACCTAATTCGTTTGAACCTAAACTTTTAAATAAAAGCAAGTATTTCTGTAAAATACATCTTTCGGGTGGTCATGAAATATCCGCCTCATCTTAAATAATTAATTTTTCGTTTGACAGTACAATAAAGATTTACTCATTATTGATTCTGGTGCAAATTTGTCCATAAAATCAATTCGACATGGAAGAAAACCAGTTTTAATGAATTTATTATTACAATGAAACGCATAAGAGAAAATTTGCCAAAATTGGCAAAATCTTTAAACTGTTGTACGAAAAATATTTTAAAAGGCTATTTACACTAACAAAATGTTAGGAACTCAAAACAAAAATTGCGCACAGAAAAATCTAATTTTGCATTCTAAACACTTTAAGATCCGTTGGTGGATCTATATGTTCAAAGCATCGCATCGTACAATCTGATTGCGTAACTCTTCCTTGCTCTGCACGGGTGTCACATAGACTTTAATACACCCCATAGGTAAAAATCTAAAGGCGTGAGATCAAAAGATCTTGCTGGCCAATCCTATAGCCACAAACGACGAAATCCATGGTGATGAAATAATTCGTATATCCTATCTAGTTCGTACCAAGAATTCCGAATTTCTTGAATTCTAAGATTCTCGTGTAAATCAGTTACCACTGTTCTTAATATTTTGAAATATTTTGCAGCATACAATGATAAAAATTGCTTTATTATACTCTTTAAAGTTACTCTGAATTCTCATTTCTTTTGGTTCTTAAGGATTGTCGACAGCCCAGACTTCGATTGAAAATACCCTCTTCTGAAAATTTTTCTTCGTCGGCCGACTGATAGTAATAGTAAAGTAATGCCAAAGTAATCCAGTTTTCAGAGGAACTTGCTTCTATTTACGAAACCAAACGATTTAGGTATAGGGACATTATATATTTACAAACTAACCAAAACCAACCAACCCTGTATAATGTAGAACTAATTTTGATATTAAGAAATACCTCCCTAAGCTTTGTCCAAAATTTTCTACTGGCTCCAGTGTCGTAGTAATAATAATTTAATCGAAGCGATGTTTTCATCTAAAAAATGAAGAAAATAATTATTTTCTCGAAAACCACTGAAGATGGGTATGGTATTATAGTATATAGTATTATTGAAAAACATTCATAAAATACTAGCGGATTGTAAAATGCAATAATATAGGAGATATAACTTTTACATTTTCAATGTTGATAATACTTTTTCGAAGAGGCGGCAACGTCGCAGCATTTCAGATCGACAGAGCATCGGCGGAAACCTCCAAGGTATGATCTGTTCATAGATATAAGAAAGTGACCAATTGCTTTTGAACGGATTATCCAAGGGTGGTCATTAACATACAACGCAAAAAGTTTATTATTATTATTAATAATGCAATTAATAATTAGTTAATTAATAATTATTTATTATTAATTAAGGTAATAATCTTGTTGCATTGTATGACCACCCCTTGGATAATCCCTTCAGAAGCAATTGGTCACTTTCTTATATCTATGAACAGACTATACCAAGAAACGTGAAACACCCCGTATGTTATGTTTCACCTTAAAAATAACATTTCGTTGAAGTATGTCATTCATCTGGTTCAAACGGAGGTAAATCATACATGCAATTTGGTTTGGCTTATCTCTGAAATGACCTGGTAGCATTTTACATTTACCCTTCGGGTGCCAAGTTCGTTAAAGTAAAGGAACCATCTGAAAACCACTCCAATCTGAAGCTTATTGCATCTCGTGATCATATATTACAACCAACTTAACCATTTTTTAATTCAAAAACCTGGAAAAATGTTTTATCAGATAAGTAGTAACTTTTCATGTATTGATGATAACGTTTTCTTTGCTGAAATTCTCTTATGAATATTTCATGCGCGGTGCCCCCATACTTTCTCTTATGAATAGCAAATTTGTATTTTCGCTGCTGATAACACTTGTTTAAAGTGTTCGTCGCGCATTTTTCTCGAAAATTAATCTCGCCTAGTTTTTCGTTTGTTACATCATTCCTATAATTCAACAATTAACAATTTACTATAGGAATTGGGCTTAAAAAATTAGGACGATCAAATTAATATTAAGCGACTATAGGAAGAGTGTCGGAGCTGCATTCTATAATGCATTTTGTTTCACTATAATTTGTTTCAATTAATTCATAGAGAAGACAGTATTGGAATGTCGGCAACGGTTAAAGGTACGATGGCGGTTAAATTAGAGAAAAGTGGTTTTTAGTATTTAGAAACCGGTAGATTTTAGAAAAAAATTTAATAAAGGAGAAATAATTTGTTGACGTCCACCCTGTTAGCTTCTTCAGAGCTTAACCGAAACTGGTTTGCATTTTACTCTGGACCTGTATACTGTTTGAAGGGAACTGTGCTAAAGGACATGAAAATTGTCTCGGATGATTGATTCCCATATTGGTGAAAGGTTTAGAGATTTCGATGGATTCTTGGACTTTTTTTGGGTAAAGCAATTGATTGACCTTGACATTTTACACTCAGTGATCGATACCTTACCTAAAACTATCTCAACACGAATCACCGAAAATAATTTTAAAAATCTGAGAATCCATTGAAATCTCTAAACAACCAATCATAACTGCGACTGATGTTTTTACCTTTCACCAATATAGGATCAGCCAACCGAGACAAAGTTAATGTCCCTCATTAAGCTTCGCGCCCTTCAAGGAATATAGAGCAGATACAGTGTGTCTCAATTTTCATCCTTTCGGGTTTTGCACCCAATTACGGAAGTTACCTGCCGACGGCTATAAAACTCGGGTCCGGTAGCT